GCCTCCCACGCTACCCGAGAGTGTCCTGAAATATCCCTCCTCACTGAACAAAGGAACAAAATGGCAAGAGGTGATACGTGATACAGCAGGGTTAAAAATAGACTCACCACTGACGTATAGGGCAGCGTTTTGTGACCTCTGTGTAGCGCTCTTGGTTTACACCCTGAGTAGTTGTGGCTCCTACGACCCAGCTCAAGTTTGAATTAAATTTAAAAAAACAAAACAAGGATAGGCTTTCTTGCACCATTTATAGATTCAAAAATAGGACCAGGAACCCTCATTTCTATTACTATTTTATATGGAACATGAGAACAGCGAGAATCAAACATTCTCACGCATGTCAAAGCAAAGAACGTCCTGTTTTAGGGGATTCAAAGGGTCTCATGGTATGTGAAGCATAAATGATCTGCCTGAGAAGAAGGAGAAGTCCACCTTTTCAGAGACGGATATTTCTTTTGTTTTGATGTCACAGCACATGGCATACTATCACCAAAACATTACATCATGCAGGAAAAATCCACGAGAAGAGCTGCAAGCTTTTCCAACCGTGGTTTTCGCTGCACATCAATCAAAGCTCAGTGAGAAAAGAAAGGAATTAAAGGGAGAGAAGTCCTGAAAGCCACTTGTTTTCTTGCAAAGTGTGAACAGGCTGCTCGATTGAGGGGATCAGACATCTGAATCGGGCTCTGGAGGTGGTCTTTGCTCAAGGTCAGGCGAAAAAATGAAAAATGCCTCAATAAGGAAGGAAATTAGCATAAAACAAGGTGTTGCTTTTGATTTGAAAACTTGTAAACCTGTCTTTTTATCTCCGCCACATTCCTTTTCACACTGTACAATACTTTCAAACACAAGCACATTAGTGACTAAAGGACTCATACAGACTTGATTGATTCAAAGACATTCCTGGGGTATAAAGGGAATACTTTCTCCCACTCTGTGTCAGAAGTGCATGCAACATGCCTCGGAGTGACAGGAACAATGGCTTCTTTCACTGCCTTCGCCAGGCTGGAGATGGGGAGGTGCATCATGGGAAGCAGACAGGCAGACAGGCTCGTACAGTTGAGCGCAGATACTTCAGAGAGGCCTCACACAAACCCCGGCAACAAGCAATGGCACTTAAACTTCCAGATATGGGCCATGTGTGAATGGTGTGCTTGGGTTACTCCTTCACTGCTCAAACACTCAGGCTGGATCAGAGGGCAGCCAGTTCACAGACCCCTTACAACTGCTGGCTTTATGTAAGAAGAAATGAAGTATGACAAGTGTGATGGGATGTTTTTGCTCGTTTCTGATGTGCAAGCACTTCTCTGAAAGATGGACTGCTTTTGTATTTCATATTTTTACAGTTCTGTCTTATTTCAAGATGTTGAACTAACAATACTACGGTAGTTTCCACACATTTCATAGAAGAAAAAAAATGCTCAGGGGCATAGAGCTTTGAGAAGAATGTTTTACAAGATCTTTAGAAGGGAGGACCTGCAGAAAATTAACTTAAGTCAATGCCTTAGGATATATCCTTAAACAAATAGGGACTTACTCTTAAGTACGTTTTAAGAATATGGAATCCCAGGAGTATGGGAAAATAATGAGTAAAGAATCCTAAACTAGACTTTGGTGTTTTAAAGGGTTAGTTCAGAATCACAAAGTTCACACAAAATCACACAAAAACTAACTAATTGAGGCAGCAGTAGACCAAAAACTCCTGTGTTCTATGAGGTAAAATTACTGCTATTGTCTTTGGTGTCTGGTGACCGTAAATAGAGCATAGATAACAGCCTCAGTTCCCCTTGAAAAGGGCTTTCGACAGCAAGGTAAAATGTTATAAATAAAAAAGCCACCAGACTACACTGACAAAAACAGTCATTTTAGCTTGCTGAAGACGGGAGCTGCTGGTCTACCACTGCCTTTATCAGTTAGTTTGTTTGTGTTATTGTGTGACTTCAGTCAATCCAGACAAACCCTTTTAAATGCCAGTCACACAATAACACAAAGAAACTAACTGATCAATGCAGCGGTAGACCAGCAGCTTCTGGGTTCTTCAAAATTAAATCACTGTTTTTCCCAATGAAGTCTGGCTTTGACAAGGGTGATGTAACAGCTTCATTTCTGTCGGAAATTGATGTCTGACAGCAAAATAAAGCAATTAGAATATTAGCATTAGTTTTAGGTGGCTAAAATACATTTTGCGCGCGTCCACCTCAGTGCATTGCTTAGCGTCTGTGGCGGTACTCCTGCCTGCTTCTCCAAATTGAGGGCGTGTTGACCAGCCTCTACTGTACAGTATGTAATACAGTGACTGTGGATAAGTACCTCATACAAAAAAACAAAAAAAAAACACAACAGATTATCCCTTTAAAGTCTGCATTCTGTTGTACAACATCCTCAACACAAACGTCTCGTGAATGCTATTTGGAGAGAGAAAAAACCTTTGGATACTTGGAATACTTTTTTTTCTATTTTTTCATATTTCCCTTCGACGGGAAAAGAACTTTGGATTTACAGTTTCTTTTGACATGTTCGTCTCCTCCTCCAGGTTTACTCCTTTTTCTCCTGGGTTTTGCCTGACATTGTTTTAACAGCCACACAAGATTCAGTTGGCCTGAGCAAGAACAGGAAACAGGAAGTCATTCAGGATTTAAGCTTCCTGTTTGAGACATTTCTTACACCCCTAGGTAGAATAGTTAAGAAATATTAAACAACCTAAAGAGACTGCATTAAAATGCCTGTGCCACCTTGTTAAGATGTTCCAGTGGGTCTTACTGGTAAACTAAAATACTTATTTAAAGGAATACTTTACCTCCCAAATGACCATGTGAATATAAATCACTCAACCCAAGTTACTTGGAATTTGTGCAAAAATTTGTGCAGTTTTTCTCACATGCCTCCACAAATAATCCAAAAATAGGGAAAATTATTGATGAAGTGAAGTAATAAGGGGCCGAGTGCAATAACAGCAAAACTATATCAAAACATCTGTTGACAAACTCTCACACATCTTGTGCAGCATAATCCAAGTCTCATTTATCCAGTCGTATGCTCAGTACTTCCCAAACAGACAGCCATTTCTAACGAGGAACTAAATGGAAAATAAAACTTATCTATGCTCTCTTTAAAGCCAGACTTCACTGAAAAAAACAGTAATTTTACATTGCTTAACATAGGAGCTGCTGGTCTACTGCTGCCTCCATCAGTTTGTCTGTTTGAGCTTTAGTGTGACTTTGATGAATCTGAACTAATCCTTTAGAGCAACAGTCCCACAATAACATAAACTAACTAACTGATTGAGGCAGAGGTAGACCAGTAGCTCCCATGTTCAGCCAAGTCAAATGACTGTTTTTGTCAATGGAGTCTGGCTTTGAAGAGCGTATATAAGTCTAACGTTTAGTATAGTACCCCGTCAGAAAGGGCTATCTGTTTGGGAAGTACTGAGTGTACGACAGGATAAATGAGACTTGGATTACACTGAACGAGTTGTGTGAAAGTTTATAAACAGGTGTTTTGATATGTTTAGTATTATTAAATGTGGACCCCTATGGCTTCAATTCATCTGAACTTTTCTCTGATATTGGATTAATTCATAGTGGAGACATGGGAGAACGCTAGATTTTCTTCACAAATTCAATGTAGCACGGGGTGAGTGATTGATATACAAATAGCAATTTGGCGACTGAAGTATAGCTTTAATTAAGTGAATTCTCCTGTGGCCTCAGCAACCTGTGTGTTATGGACAAAGACAAACCATCTTTAGTGCTCACAAAAACAAATATTGCACCATTTAAATTACAGTACCGATGTCATCAGTCAGCAATGCACCTTTAAACCAACTTAAGATCACCACAGTTAATTCTTCTTTTAGGTAATTACTATGTTAGTCAATTGAGAACATCTAGATATACACTGACCTCTCAGCAAAAGTGAATTATGATTTCAGTTGGGTCAGATATATGTTTTATACAGTGGGAGGTCCAGGAGTCATAGGCCAGAGCAAAACGCCACAGCCGCCAACAGTCTCCACGTTGTGCTGGTCTGAGGGCACGAGACACAGATGCCAGCCCTCCACGTGGTCTGGGCTTAGTCCTCTGACAACTTGAACTCTTACTACAGCAGCTTTAACCCCACTATATACGCTAAGCCACAAACTCTGGCTATGAGACTAACAGCTCCAGCACAAAGAACACCTTTGTGTTTGCTGCTAGACTCTTCAGAAAATCAGGGATAAGCGTTCTGACTTTATATACACGTGAGAGCTGCCATAAAGAGATCTGTAAGCAGCATGTCACTTCAGAGTTATAGTTTCCCTTTTAACAAGCGTACATTCAATGGGATATTTGACCAGGATTTAATACTAGGTGGAAAGGGCTGAACATATGGGTTTTCTTAATTTATTTTGCGAGTTTTAATGGCCAAAAGACTTGTTAAAAGATTCACATTAGCAAAGGAGAGATCAGTTGGATCAATTATCATTGAATATTAAGTCTACTACAGCTGCTATTCTAGCACCTGCAAAGGAAGTCAGAGAGGGAAGCTTTATTTCCTTTGCAACAGTTAGTTATAAATGGAAATGTGCAAAATGTATTAGTTTCAAACTGTGTGGTTTTCTCATGGTGTTTGAGAGTGCACGGTAATATTATCAGTCTTTATGAGCCTTCAAATTATCGGCTTTAATGGAGAATTTATGATTCTTAGACTGCGAATTTTTGTTTCTTCAAAACAGAAATGAATCCATGAATTATTCAAAGCCAAATGAATACATAAGTCTTGTTGCTGCTGGGATTATAAATTATCTATTGAAAAAATAAGGGTAGAAAATTTAAAGCAATCAGACTACAGCAGCGTCTGAATTTCTGTTTGTGTTTGTAACTGTGACAAATGTTTGCCTCGGCTTCACACACTCTAACCACAACAGGAAAAAATAAAAAAACAGCCTTCCTGCCAACAGAAATAATGTTTTGACATTTAAAAACAAAAAGTGAAGTGTAAAGAGTGCTCATGCTACTTACAGACTCGTCCTTCATCTTGTGATGGTGATTAGTGATCATTTATCCACGGGTAGCGTCTACGGTCACACTGACACATCACTATCAGACAGAAAGATGCAACGTCAGGTGCATGATTGGCAGGTTGGTGCTCGGGGAGGGCGTCTCTGCAGCGCAAAGACAGACCCTCCTATCATCCACAATTACTCATGCAATCTGCAACTGCAGTCGTAAAGATTCCAAATGCTACTATGCTTTCATTTGTCTCAGCACCTATTCGAAAACTTGTAATTCTTCAGGATTCTTATTAATTTTATGCCAAGACAGGGAGGAACTGCATATGTATGATAGTGTTGTCAGGATTTTCTAACTTAAATTTAATACCTTGAAAAATATCCACATTTGATACAATGTTCAAAACACAGGGAGAAATTAACATTGACATTACAATATTAAAATTTTTCATTAAAAGAATTAATATAACACAGCTAAAACATGACAATGCTGACTTTTCTTTTTCAGTTAGCAGCAGAGAGCAGCCGTTTCAAATGTTCAAAGTGTGTATTAATAAGCTAATATATTTGACAAAACTAATGTGCGAGGGCATTATGTGAAGCAGTGGAGAGCAAACTAAAACAGTACTTTACTCTCTTTGAATTAAGATTTAAATAACGTGAAAAAAACCTAAATAACTGTACATTAATGTGAATGCTTCTGCCTTAAAGTTTCAAGTTTACTTGTTTCAGAATTTTTCTAGAATCCAGAATCAGGAATAAAGGAAAGAGGAAAAATAATAGACAGAAGAGAATGTATTTGATTTCACAACATTGCTGTTCCTCGACATTCAAGTTAATTTGCCTTCCTAGACAAGAGAGCTTTTCTTAGACTGATTTACTAAGGTAGAGTTGCTATGATTAATTGATTAATTGACTAGTTGTCCATTGTAACAACAGCTAATTTGACAATCAGTTAATCTGTTTGGGTAATCTTTTTAGAAGTAACCTTATAATCTGTTGGTTGTGATAAACCAAGACATTTGAGGACGTTATCTTGGCCTTTGGGAAACACTGATCGACATTTTCTAACATTTGAGTGACCAAACAAGTAATCAATTAACTGAATAAAAAAAACAGACAGAAGTGAAAATAATTGTAAGTTGCAGCCCTACTTTTAGGCTATAACCATTAAAGTTCATTTTTCATGTTGCTAGACAAAACATGACCTGATCTAGTTTACAAGCTTTTTGCTCGAGCTTTCAGCTGTATCTTGTGATCTTCCTCAGGAGATAAATTTTGCTCAGTTGTTGAATTTGTTAAGTCAGCTAAAGATGACCACAAAATGCTGCTGAAAGCCATGGAAACAGTTACAAAGTGGAGGATTTGTTTCGTCAAATTACATTTTGCAAATTCTATTTTGAGTTTAATTTTTGTGTATTTAATTAAATCCAGTATTTTATAATGCAATAATCTTAACTGGGGCTACAATATGTATGACTCATTACTGACTTTTTATATGACGTATTAACTTTTGAAGTCCAAGAACATTTATTTCCCCATCTCCATGGTAACAAACTCTACCCACTTAATTTCCAGCCACGCGCTTTACCAAAATGCTTCACATCACTGTATCTGAAAGTTATGTTTGCTTCATAATATCCCCCTCTTAGTAGTGCTCAGAAAAGTAACTGATTTCACAGAAAAGGCCCAAAATGAATGAAAATATCAATTTGATTCAAAGAGGCTTTGCTGTTTTTCTCAGTTTCAGTTTTTTTTATCCCGTTAAAGGGTTTTTTTGGGGAGTTTTTCCTTATCCGCTGCGAGGGTCCTAAGGACAGAGGGATGTCATATGCTGTGAAGCCCTGTGAGGCAAATTGTGATTTGTGATATTGGGCTTTATAAATTAAAAAAAAAAAAGAAAAAAAAATGAAATTATACCAATAGCCTGCCTCTAAGTGTTTGTGCAGTTGGTTGGAAAATAAGAAGTTAAAAGAGCACTTTATATTGATGGAAATTACAATGGCAATTTCTCATTTTAAAAAAAGACTCTGCTGTTAGCTACTAGGTGGAGTGGAGTATTTCTAAGATCAAGAATGAGCACTCAATTAATGTGCTTGTTTAAAAAAGATAGATTAATAAGTAATTTTATACATTCATTTCTGCAGCCACAGATCAGATTTAGTTTTGAATTCTAAAATGTGGCTGGACAGAGGAGCCAGAGTCACATCACAGTTATCAGAGCAGTTTAAACCACAGACAGTTCAGGGTGAGGTAGTGAGAGCTAACGGCGCTGCGTCTCTGTGTGTGCTGGTCGTTGAAATAATCCTTCGCTTTCACATCTGAAATCAGCTGTGAAATCTGCTTTTTCTTCTTCTCTTCTTATTCTGCCACCAGTGTTGACTGATCACAATCACACAGCTCAACCTGAACGTGCTCGCAGCTGCACGTTTGTGACACAGATATCACGATGGTTACAGCGGCCTGCTGATGAATCACATTTTGGAAAAGCTGCAGAGCAGAGTGTGATGGATTAGCCTGTTTGTGGTCTGTCAGTGTGCTCTTGGAGGAGAAGATGACTGTGACAGTCGCCTTAAAATGCAGCATAAATGTTCCTCTTGTACATCATCCTGGAGGAATATACATCACAGTGTTCAAACAGACTCTGCTATCAGAATCAGACTGAGCAGCACTTGGTAAGCATGATGAGAACCAATTTGCTTCCTCCCCTCCAGACACAATCCCTGAGTGAGATGAAAGGGAAGCTGTGCTACTGTAATCCATCTAAATGGCCAGCTCCTACATCCTCTCATGCAGCCATGACTATTGATCTCCACTCTCACTAACTCTCCCTGTGTCCGCCTTTGTTTCCCAGTCTTTCTTCTTCTCCACCATTTAAAGAAAAGCCTCTAGAACTGGACTTTAAACATGTGCAACATTTTTATCCCAGAGAAATAAAATCATGCTCTTGTTAATCATTCTGTTTTGTCTTAAAACCTAAAGACTTCATTGGTACAGACCAAAATGTGTCTGTGGTACAGTATCAAAAACTGTCTGGTATTGAAAGCTAGCATTGAATGTGTGATTAGATCGACTTGTGTTTAGGCAACATTTAACATTCTTTAGTTAAAGAATACTTTGATATTTTTTAACCTGTTTAGTTTTTTAAACTGCTCCAGTATCAAGCGAAAGGGCTGCAGCTGGCAACGGTAAAACAGGCTGTAATGTCATATTCAAGGCAAATAACGCACCGTCAATGTACGTCCACTGAAAGTTTTTGCCACTGATTATTTTGAAGGATCCCTACAGAGAAATAAAATGTTTTCCTTTACCTTTCTTTTGATCTGGTCTGTTTGTTATTGTCTTCCTGCAACAACTTAACTCAATTAGACTTAAACAAACACAATAACAACCAGACCGGATCAAGCGAAAGGTAAAGAAAAATGTTTTATGTCATTTTCAGACACTTATAATAACAAGGGGAGCCTGTCAGTGGCAAAAGAAGCATTTTTAGTGGGCGTACATTAATGGTGTGAACATTCCTTCAACAACAAAAGCACGTGGTTAAGTTTTGCCGATGTGCACGTGGTTGGGTTTCGGAAAAAACAACAGGGTTTGGCCTCACAATCCTACAGGAAGCGAACACAGGCATCCCGGGTGAAAGTAAGTGGTTGTTGGACTTCCACTACCTTAACGTTCGTTGTTGTCCCACTGCCTTTCCCCTTGATGCTGCCAGGTGCCGTTATACAATACGCATCATGCCGACGTGAAAGAATAGCTTTCATCGGTGTATGACGCCAGACATCACTGACCAAGCACCAGTTTGCGATGACATCGAAGTAAGACCAGGTTGATTTCAAAAACTGTTGTCTCCTTTCACTCACTTAGACATAAAAACATGGGAAAACAGGGTGCAGGTTGAAAAATACAGAAGTAACCCTTTAAATGATAAAAATGATTTGCAGATGGTCAAGACTCTACACTGGAATACAAAATCATATAATAGGCTATATTTATGACTGTGAAGTTCATTCTTAACCTCAGAAATAATAGTCTGACCAAATAACCTTAACTCAAGCTCCACTTACTTACTTTTTCTATCCTATCTCATGGTCTTCATCATCAGTAGGAGATATAAGGAAGTGGTTGAAAAGCGCTGAAAAAAGTTTGTAGGTGCACCTTGAGAAAATCTTTTGTCAGAAGATATATCTCTGTTTATCTCTTAAGTTGCACATAACAACAATGTCTCAGCTCATTGTTCAATACTATAGTATCAATCTCAGAACCCATCCGCTTTCAATCTGACTATGATAAAGCCTCTTGGGGTGAGGGTCATTTTTTCGGGCTTATCCGTTGTAGCCAGCAAACATCTGAGCCAAGACGTTCTCTGCTGTGCACCAGTCATTTCTGCTTATCTCTGTAAAAAGAATATCTGCACATGAAAGCAAAAAAGCTAATATAAAGCTAACTCTTCAGACGATAGCCAGTGGGTTTCAAGATTGCATTTCAATGGGTTCTGTCTCTCCACAAAGACTGTTTACTTGCCATTCAAATATGATTGATCAATACTAGTTGTACGGACTACAAACAGAATCTAGACCACTTCCGATACCAAAATTTTGTTCATTCCCCTACAGATTCTGCATATATATGCAGATATCTATTTATAGATTACTGTACTATAAACACACTTAAAATGAACAAATAACTAATTCTGACATTCCTCACCATCTAAATTAATTTTATTTAATTGCACAACCACTGTCTAAAAAATTCTGAGATCCCATCTCATCAAACTCCGCATACTATTGTGCTTCTGTTGAGGCGTGCTTCCTCTTTAAACAGCAGCACAGGATAGACTCACAAACAACGCAAATGCTTGTGTCTTTGATAAGGGAGTATCTTTGTTAAGCCTGTCTAAGAAGTAAACTTCATTTACAAGTGTAATTCTCTTTTCTCTTCAACTATTTAAAAGCTACATTTAGACGGAGAAACAATGTCCACTTTTAAACTGTTTTAAACTGCTTCTTTCTCATCACAAATGCTTAGCATGTAGACATAGAGAATGAAACTAAAATATATTAAGTAACTAATAGTTAGGGAGTTCTG